ATAATTATCATAGATATAATACACGGAACAGGATTAGAAACAGGATCACGTGAGCACATTATCCATTGAAACACTCCTAGTTATATCGGAGCCCCAGGCAGCTGCTCGACTATTGCCCAGGCCCCCAACTGTCCCTTTTCAAAAAGTTTGTGGGACTCTAGCAACTTCAGGAGATGGTGAGACGCATTAGTATGAGCTTTTATGGCTATTCTCTGAGGATCTTTAGTGCATTAAGACATTTATTAGTGCTTAAACAGAAGTTTTAGAAAGTTATGGCATGTCAAAACCAAAGGCCATATTTCAATGGCGTCAGTACTCTAAAACTATTAAACGCAGTCCATAACAAACATCACAGTGCACTGTAAGAGGTTAAGAAGTAACCATAGAAGCAGATATTTAGTTACAAAACTATCAGATATCGTCTGGAGAGTCCCACAAAGTATATCCATCTCCATTACGGGACCAGTTCCCGGCAAACTAGGAGTGTTTCAATGGATAATGCGCTCACGTGATCCTGTTTCTAATCCTGTTCCGTGTATTATATCTATGTAATTATCAGCTCAATTTTATAATCGTGTATGTACATGTACATAAACTATGAATTATAAATTAGAAAAATGCTAAAAAATTTGTAGAGCAAAGCCTACATAAAAAGTTCAAATAGTACATGCTATATTTTATGTAGCTTAGAGACAAAAACTTTTAGTTCTACATGTAGTTATCTCAAACATAAACTTTTAATTCTAAACACAGTTTCAATAAAATACATTAGCTCATGTATAATGTATACATGTACATTTAAATATAAAATAAAATATAAATAAAATATAAATATAATTCATAAAATACAATAATTCGTTACCTGAAGAACTTTGAAATGTTTCCAGAGAGAGCAGTGGTTAGTACAAGAGTCATGCAGATCCAGAAAGGACCATAGAGATCAGGATTAGAAGAGACTATTGATGCAAGGTTGAATGGATATGGTACAATACCAGCAGCAATGCGATGTAACACCTAGTAATAATAATAATAATAATAATCATATAATATTAATAACAAAATAATAAAGATATAAAAAAAGAAGAATTCTCTCCTTTTCATTTATGGTGAAATTTGGCCAAAGACTCCTGTACTATTATACTAGTACAGGGACTTTGGCTTGATTTTTGAGTAACTTTTAAAAATTGTAAAAAATCCAAATTTGATCGGAATCAGCTCAAACTTTCTACACAACATAAGTACATGTATATGCATCAGAAAAGGTAATAAAAATGGAGAATTCTCTCCTTTTCATTTTTGGTGAAATTTGGTCAAAAACCCTGTACTATAGTACAGGGACTTTAGTCGAATTTTTGAGCAACTTAAAAAAATTCATGAAAAATCCAATTTTGATCGAAATCGGCTCAAACTTTCTACACAACATAAGTACATGTATATGTATCAGAAAAGGTAATAAAAATGGAAAAATCTCTCTTTTTCATTTTTGATGAAATTTGGGCCACAGCCATGCACTACAGTACAGGGACTTTGGCCTGATTTTGGAGCAGCTTTAAAAAATCAAATTTTGATCGGAATCAGTTCAAACTTTCTGCATAAAAAAATACTCCATGTGCATTCATAATTTCTGTTACTTAGTAAAAAGAATAGACTTACTTCATTAGTCGTGACATCAAAGAAACTCTGATAATATTCTAAATGAAATATGCCAAACCAGGACCCTTTAGGCTGCTCATTCTCTCCCTTGCTTTCTGACATAGAAGTCTAAGAAGAATAACATACAATACATTTTTGAAGGAGGTCTTACTTTCTCTACAAAATATAAAGAATAATAATAATTTTATTTATTTATTGATTCTTTACCTTCTTTTTGAGCCTCAATGTCACCAGTAGGTGGGTTATTATCTTTAAAAAAATACATTAAATTGGAATGAGGTTCAATAAATAATTAAAAGGAATTGATTTAAACTTACAATCAAAATCTTCCAATCCCTAAGCAATGCAGATATACAAATTAAATATTAGTAGCGAGATGTAACAAAAAACTCACTTCAAAATCTATTTTCTCATCCGCCATTTTAATATTCTAATAAACCACGCCTCTCCTTTCACGGGTCCGGGTACCATAAAATTAAAATTACCCGCGCCCCCCGGAATGAAAATCATAATTTTAAAACTATGAACATGATTAAACTTATGAATGGCAATATTAAAGTTAAAAATTATGTAGACAGTGATTTCAGTGCATGTTGAAAACGTTTTAGTACTCTCTCTCTTCCGAGGACAATGGCAGTATCAACAACAGTGGGTCCAGCCTATAACAAAAAAATATTATAATAAAAGAGCAAATTAAGAATACATGTATGTGTGCTAACTTACTAAGACTGCTAACTGCTAAGTATAATTATATTCATAGTTCATCTCAAATTAGTTTAGGTACATGTACTATAATACTTCTAAACACAGAAAATAAGTTCTTTGACTGTCAAAAATAGCCAGTTTGCCATAAAATGCAACTAAGCAAACTTAAAAAGCTTATTAATATTATATTTAACATGCACATCAATAATAATTATTATGATCTTTCTCTAGTAAATGATATAGATGATATCTTACCATTCCTCCACAGAGTACATATCTAATCATTGACAATGTCTTCCCTTCTTTCACTGATTTGTTTAAGCTAAAAGTCTTTATTGAGTGTTTTAGTCTGCTTTCATTAAATGCCTCACAATCTTCTTCTAAAAACGTAGCAAAATCCTGTATCAAGTCTAAAAATGAAGAAAAAGTTCAGAATGTAATTTTAGAGGGGGGGGGGGGATTTTTGCAAATTTTGGCATTTTAATAGCCATTTGTCAAAAATAAAGTTAGTCATTATGTCACAAAAAAATAGAAATTCAACAAAAATTTATCCCTTCAAAATTATCAGCTTAACTATAGATATGTACACGTATGAGTATAAGGTGGCGTAGAATGGTATTTAGTACTAGTAGTACAATACCTCTGTTAGGTATTGATCGTGGTTTGGATTCACTGTAGTCTGGATCAGTCCAGAAATATGGAGCAAGATCAGGAATATTACAGACAAGACTAGACCTTTCCTAATAAAAAATATAATGAAAACATCACACAGTATTAGTAAAATATCCTGGATTTCTCTTATTCTGAATATTCTCATATATACACAACCAATTGCTATTTTCTTAGATCAGAACTGATATCAGTTTGAATCATACTGATATCAGTCCTGAATTATGGTTTTCGTGTAACCAGTCATGATACAACTGCGAATATCAGCCATAATACAATTATGATAAAATTTGTACTGATTCATCCCAGAATAACAGACATGATCTATTTTATAATGTGTCAGGGCTGTACCAGTATACAATATGAGACTTGGTCCATTATTTTGGGGCAAAAGTGCTGATTCAGACATGATACCTTCTGGTTGTGTTATAATTATTAACTTTTGCTTTACTATTTTTAATTCAATGGGCAATTATACTGCCCTCCAAAAATTTTAGAATACACTTAAATTTGATGATGATGGCCCAGACAAAAGGGAAGCTTCATTTAAATGTAAGAAGTTTTGACCAAGCTATTGTGGGTGCACTTCCTTTTATTGAAACTCCACCCTCCAGTACATTTAAATGCACAGCTCCCTATCTTAATCAACACATTATTAAACCTAATAGTTATGTAGCCAAAACTTTTTGCAAATAGCCAGCAAAACTTCTTTTACAAATTTTACTTTTGCAAAAGAACCTTTGGCCAGCCTGGATTATAATGAAGTTGTAACTTACATCAACTGTTAGCAGAACTTGCTTTAGGTAGTCAGAGGACAACAAATAATCATCAGCAGATAAACTAGAACAAAGAGAAAAAGAACTCTTATTAACATGATTTCAATTTATTATTTTATAATATGCTACAGCACGATGGGGTTGGAATTGTGAATACAACTATTTTATGTATTTAAAATTACTTTATATTACAATTACAAGTGTCCGATCATGAGAATGTTTATCATGTATTTACACATGTACGCATTGTAGCTCTTTAACTGACAAGTTTTGTGGAGATTTGGGATTAAAATCGCCAGCATTAAAACTGTCAAATTCACATGCATAATGTACATACATGTGCACAAGAATGCCTAATTAAAGTAGATTTTAAAGTAGAAACATGTCAACTGCCAAAATAAATAACTAACAAATCAAAGTACTATAATAATAGCTTAATATGCATGTACTTTAAGTCATGTCTGGCCAGGAGTGCTGCCCTCAGTCTCTCAATGAATCCATTGAGTTTGTTAGTGTCTTTACACTGTAGCTTGTAATGCTGGCCATTGAACCATAGGAGCTTTGCTTCATCAACTAAAACTGATCCTCTGAAGGAAGAAGAGAGAGAAAGGAAGAAAGACAGAGGAAAGAAAGGGAGCATTTATAAATAAATAAATAAAATAATAAAATAATAAATGAATAAATGAATAAATAAATAAATAAATAAATGAATAGCTACATGTACAAGAGTATACTTGTTAATGTGTTCTATTGAGAATGACTTCACCAGCTCATCAATACTGAATACCTCCTGTATACTGCTTTTAGGAGACCAACCAAGGAGAGCAACAAAATTAAGAAGTGCTTCGGGCAAGAATCCTCTCTCCTACGATAAATAAAATTAGTAAAATTACATAAACGTACATGCACTGGTATAATACCTGGTATGAGTGTACAAATACGTCATCTTTTCTTTTTGAGAGTTTACCTCCTGAGCTAAATAAATATAAAACATTGTGTACAACGAAACACATTAATAATAATAATACATTTACACATAACCAAGAAGAAAGCAATGTACTGTACATGTAATAGTTACACGTACATGTATGTGCTCTTGAAGTAACCTAGTACAATATAATGATGTCGATCAATAACGTATAACTAGAAAATTTGGTGGAGTAAAACTTTGGC